TATGCACAGGATTCCTTGAAGTGGAGCACGCCCCAAGGGTAGCTGTCAGTCTAGTAAATATCCCTTTCCTTGGAATGAGTAGGCATGTTATAGGCGGTAAGTAGGTCGATAGCCGCCCTGTTCCCGTTGATACATGGGATGTGTTCTCTATCCGTTCTGTCCCGCCTCGTCTAGATCCCTGCAGCTAATGTGGAGAAGGTGAGCTCCCTCCGAAAGTGTAGATCGCGAGTGGTCTATTGGGGGTGGGCCCCGGAGTGATCGGCTAAGGTACGTGAGCTCTTCTTCTGTCATTACTGAATCTCTCCTCTCTTCGTTCGATGTTTGGGAAGTTCTCCCGTTTGCTTCCCCCCGGTCATTACCGGGTACCCTTCCACAGTCCAACTGAGCAAATTAGGAAAACTTTTGACTCGAAAGAACTCGACTAAAAGGAATTCATTGGACTTTCCGATACAGCAACTCAAAAAGAACAGCCGTCCTTACCGGTGAAGCCTACTGTCTGACTCTTAGCCTAGCTACTTAGATCAGACTGAGCGAAACTCTGCAGCTGCTTAGTCAAGTTCTGCTACTGACTCTCTTTCAGTTGAGGTGGAATCAAACCCTTCTTTGGCTTAGGGTTATGCCCATCTCTACTTGTTAGTCTTGCTTTTTTCAATTCCTTTGGTCGAGGAGTAAGCCTCACCCCAAANAGCCTACTGTCTGACTCTTAGCCTAGCTACTTAGATCAGACTGAGCGAAACTCTGCAGCTGCTTAGTCAAGTTCTGCTACTGACTCTCTTTCAGTTGAGGTGGAATCAAACCCTTCTTTGGCTTAGGGTTATGCCCATCTCTACTTGTTAGTCTTGCTTTTTTCAATTCCTTTGGTCGAGGAGTAAGCCTCACCCCAAACCGACACTCTTTTACTTCATTACCTTTCTTCCGGCGGGGCATTTTCTTTCCTTAAGTGACACCTCTAAGGACCAGTCAGTTACCAGCCTATTTATTTACTATTATATGACATCCTATCTGTCTAGTGGCTAATTGATTGAATTGGTCGAAGGATTGACTCGGACTCAGACTCAGGTCGGGAAGTCCAGCCCACAAAATGCAAAAGCCAATACATAGAGCCGGCTATAAAAGATTCAAGATTGGCGCTAAGACTAACTTCAGAAAGGATTACGAGTACAAAAGTCAGAATGATTCAGAGAAAACCGAAAGCCTTACAGGAATGGAGGATTGGCAGTTAGGCTCAAGTCTTTCATTAAGATATACCGGCTTGGCAATCCCTTGTCTGTTGATATGAAAGAATGCGCTTTCGGGCGAACTAAGGCCGAGGTGTCTCGAGACTTCCAGGCGGAATTTTCAATAAGGCGATAGAAGGCATTGGGACCAATCCAGACTTTGAAAAACTGAATTGACTTGAGTCCTTTACCGCGGGGGGGCGGCCTCATCTCATCATTAAGTCATTAAGATAAGAACTCCTTGATTGAATGTTGAATGGCATAGCAGCGGGGCAAGATCGGGTTACCTCAATGGCAAAGACTGGCTGAGACTTCCTAAAATGCTGTATTCGTAAAGGCAAGCAAGAGCCTAGACGATTTCCACACATCGAAGAAAGAAAGTGAATCGTTTGTCTGATTACAATGGGACCTAAGATAGCCCTAACTCGTCTTTTGCCTAGAGAAAGTTTAGAATCGATATCCATCTATCTGCTCCTATGCTGCTTCTCCTTCTGCTGGATGAGTGAGCAAACTCTGACGTTGGGGCGGATGGCGGCTTCATGCGCGCATTCTGTTGTGATGGGGGCTCTGTTCTCCATTTACCAAGGAATAAGAGATAGGTAGAAGCGGGCTCCATGGAATGTAGATGAGAAGCGAGCAGACCTGTGTGAGAAGCTAAGAACCTAACAGTCACCCTCAATTTATCGGTAGTTCTCTCTCTTAACCTTCTTTATGGTCCGATCCTAAAAGCTAGAGGAGCACACTAGTAGAAGTTACGTCTTAGCGCTGTAGCTTTCTTTCAATGTCGAGATGAGGAGCGTAGCCTATCTTCTTTTTCTCTCTGCGCGTAGGAACCACTTTCTTTCTGAAGAGATGGGCGTGATCGTCTTTGGAATAGGCATAAGCGCCGTTCTATTAAATAGATTAATAGAAGGGCAAAGCCTACCATTCATTAGTTGAACCGGTTTCTCTTGGATAAGAACGAGAGTCCAGAAAGAAGGCAGAGTTAACTACTAAGACGAGAGAAGTCGGAACTAGTGCAAGTGAAGGAATTCGCTCTGCTACTGCTAGGTCGAAGCAAAGAAGGTTAAGAGAGAATAAGTAGTTCCGAGGGATTTAGGCTTCGTCTGCTCTCAAGCCAGCTCCTAACTCTCGGTCTTCTGGCGAACAAACTTACCGGATTCAAGTGATTGAAACACAGGACCCTTTTCCACTTGGGTGAACGACATACATAAGGTTTGACGAGCATTCTCGGGTGGTAGAATGGTGTTGGGACTATGGAAACTGTCGATCTCCAACTTGAAGGTGGGCGGGAGTGCTTGAATCGGGAGGAGTAGATTCTCTTACCTGTGGTTCTCTGCTAGTGGATACTTCTCTCTAGCGGTGTAACGGGTGTTGGCACTTCGGTTGTTGCCAGTCCTGTCATTTCCTAGAATATGTGTTAGTATAGGCTGGAATATGTAAGTATTTTATATAAGTTCCCCGTTGGTCTCTTACTAGTCTGCTCTTCTTTGTTCCAGTGAGTTCTGTCATGAAGTGTAGCTCATGTTAGGATTACCCGGGGAGCGAGCTTGTCGACGACGACGGGTAAGCCGTGTGAGCGGTTAAGGGTAGCTTGTTGCTCAGCTGTCTTTAGTCAATATCTTATGAATGTTCCGGTCCATAGAATAATGTTAATGTAGCTAGAGTGTTCCTAAGGTGCATACTAGGGCTTCTTCCTCTAGTTACCGTTGTAGCTGAACCAGCACTTGCAGCTGTATATTCTGGGCGAGGAGCGTAAGCGATATGGCATATTTGTGAAAGAATCTCCTTTCTCTTCGTTCGGAATGTTGCTAGAAGTATTCCCTGTGGTTTGTACTAGTTGTAACTTATGTTTCCCGGTGTTAGAAGGTTGTAGCTGTTCAGCGGGTGCAGCTAAAGGAGTACCTCCAGGTCCGTAGAACTCCTATCTTTGCTTTGTTCGTACGGGAATAGGTGTCATGAAGTTTCGTCTATTGTCCCTAGGTCTCTGTTATGTATTGTTAAGTAGTTCTGGCGGGCTTCTTTCCTTGTTTTGCTTGAGCGGATGCGCGTAATGTTGCTGAATGTGCGTCTGTTCTCTAGGGTTTCCTTGTGCTTTTGGGCGTGACTAACAAGTGAAGCTGTTTTCTTTCGTTGTTGTTATGGGAATATTGCGCTTGGGTCCCCTTTACCTAACCAACAACTTCATCTTCCTGTGTCTGCTCAAACAGTTGTTTTCGCTTTGCTTGATTAATAGTTGTGGGAATGCGTCCTTTGTCCGCTTCCCTTTCCTTGGTTGTGTCTGTATTACGGGCTGCTTTCTCGATCCTTCTATTGTTGCGTGGAAGTGCTGCTTTCTTCCTGATAGTTGTATCCCCGAATCCAACTATGATTTGCTGAGCTGTTGCAGCTCCTTTCCTTTCTTCTTTGTGGGCGGACTGAGAAGGGCCCGTATACCGTACGTATCCCTCCGGTGATTGTCGTTCTGTCTTCCCTTTCCTTCCGGGTTGTCCGGGACTGGCTTCAATGTTCGGGTAGCATTCCCTTTGTTCTGCTCTCCTCTCTTTGAAGTGTACTTTCCGGCCGAGAAGTAGCTTTCTTTCTAATATAGGTTTTTCTCTGACGACTAACCTATATTAGTTCCTGCTGCTACTGTATGTTGTGTACCGAGTGCTGGCTGTTATAGTATGGTTATAGCGTTGATGGATTGTTTGTTATCTCCTTACTGCTATTAGCTGTTGTTATAGGGCTATATTCCTACTGTTGTTATCTGTTAATATGCTGTTGTTATCTGTTAATATGCTGTTGTTATCTGTTCTCTGTCCTTACTGTTGTTAGGTGGGAATAGGTTGTTAGCGTAGCTTCTGTTCCTATGCTTGAATGTGTAGTGAAGGAATGGAGGGAAGCTCTTATTAACGGCCGGAGCTAAACTCCGCTTAGCCCGGACAGGGACAACCAAAGCAGGAACTTAGAGACTCCTAGTAATACATCATACCTACTAAATCAGTCTATTGGGGCTATAGGTGTTCCCCCCGGGAAAATAACCAATGGAGTTGATTACGTTGTGAGTAAACGAGGAAAGGCGTAACATTCCATAGTTAAGGGTCGTTCATTAGCC